ACATCTCTACAAGTCTGACTCTTCAGAAGAAAGAATAACTAGTGACAGCCTCCGCCAAACACTGTCATTTCCTATAAACTTTCTAATGCTGTAGCTGGAATTCCTGACAGAACAAAGGGTGGAGAAACTTCAAGAGCTTAACTTTCCCCTAAGTGAGGTACTGCAAAAGAGTATTTTAATTGAGAACAATCTGCAAAGTTCAGCTTGGCTTGCCAAGTAAATCTGCCTGCAAAATGATCTTTCAGCAAAACAAAGTTGAAAGGTACCTAAAGCTTGGCTAAACTTTCTAGTGATATTAACTAACTTAACATGACACAAAGACCCACCTGCCTTTATGCAGGTGTTTTCTGACAGGATTTCACCCCCATTTCTAACAAAAATCAGCCAAGTTCATGTACTACTGTGAGTACACATTTATAAATCCTTCAACACTCTCATTTCAACAGATACCAAGAAATGTCTTCTCCAAAGCTGAGCTATACTCCCTTGTGAACAAAGACAAAACCAAAGACCTCTACAGTGTCTCTTGCTGAAAGAGTTACTGACGTGTAAGTAAAAGCAGCCACAATAAACATCCACTGAGTGCATATGCCAGAGGGTTATTTCGCATAAGAAGGTAGGGCAGAGAAAAGTACACCAAGCAATCAAGTTATCAAGCACATACACTAACCTGCACTGTACCAAGAGGAAAATAAAAAAAAAGGAGGGCAAAGAGTTAGTGGCTGCTTTCTGCTCAAATTGCAATTGTACAATCATGGATCCTCCACTAGACCTGGGCCCTGAACTGAGCACCTCACCAATTCCACTTTACTGCCACTACTTCTGGGAGTAGTGAAGTGCATTTATAAAAACAAATGAGCTGGCAACAGGGGAAAGAATGGAGCATTTGCAAGGGTATGCAAGGATGACAGAGGAGCCTACCTGGAGGCAGCTATAAGCAGAAGCATTTAGTCCACCATAACAGGAGAAAGCCACCACTATGGGGACGGATTTCTTCTCAGGTTTCTTCTGAGAAAGTCTAAAGAGCAAGAAGGATTAAGAGATTAAATTGTCGTCTCTGCTATAGTCTGACAAGTCCTGTAGTCCAGACTTGAACTATAACTGCTTCTAACAGCTAGGAAACAGAGAATTCAGTGGCTGATATAACACTTGCAGTTACAGATAAAGTCCTTTATGCCCTCCCATCCACTGGACATGTAAGGTATACATAAATACATGCACACTGTAGGACATGCAGCTGGAATTGTTCCCCTTAGTTCTGATTTTTTTTCCAAACCATCAACAGGGAATAATAACGAAGGAAGAGGCTTTCAGCAATGCACTTCTCAGCTGAACTGCCCTTATTTCATCATGACTAAAATGTTACGTTACTCCCAGAAGAATGGTCAAAAACTGAATTACAGCATTGTTTCAAGACATGAATGACTGATTTCACTACATTTTATTTTTGTCTTGGGTTAGTTTGATCTCATGATCATCAGCTAGTAACTTGTGAATGGTTTGCAAGAACACTTTATTGTCCCTTTAAAGGTCCAAACAACAGTTCTATTACAAACAAGTTGAACTAAAGGCAGTGGGAATAGCCTTGCATAAAGAGCTGCCACCACAAAACACACACTGCCTCACACTCAGTAATTCAGGCACATGGACAATGAGCAAGACTCACATTTATGTTACAAATCACAGGATGAGAACTGTTTCATCACAGCTGCACACAAAATGTGCTTAGAGCTACAGAAAAAATGTCAGACTATGCTGAGAGTGTGTGGAGCTGCAAGCACATGCTAGGCTAGCAAAGCACTAAACAGTACTGACTGGATGGATAATGCCAAGAGACTGGAGTCTAACATGAGTAAGAAACTCACAAAACTATCCAAAGATTATAAGGTGTTTCTGTTAAGGAAGGTTTAAAAGGCATCTACAGAGCCTCTTTATGTAGCTTGTTACAAGATCCTATTTCACAGGAGCTTTTCCATACTCAGTTCTATAACATTCTTACCCTAAAAATCACACAGAACAGTAAAGGGGATTAAAATATATGAGCAATCTGATTGGTATTTTGGAAGTGCAATAAATTCTGTTTTGATATTTCTCTTGAGGCAGAGTATAAATAGATTCACACAATACAGGAAGATTTGGCAGTCAGAACCACAGGGTGTTTTCTCAGCTTTGAGCTTCTCAGGCCTTTGAGGTGCTACTTCCTAAAGAAAACAATGAAATTAATTTATGGCAATCAGGAACCCGCACACACACAAAAGCCACTGAGTAGATGAAGTTTTCTTCCATTGACATAGATTATGTTATCAAGATCCTGTATGACATCTCTTCATCCTGACCAAATGACATTTAATGTCACATATATTAAAGGCAAGAGCATGTATCAACTGAAAACAGAGTCAGAATATAGTGAAGGTGCAAAAGAGAGCAATTTAGATGTTCCTGTTTCCTGTAATTCTTGTTTCAACCAATTGATTCTACTCAGACCAACATCATTCTCTCTTTGTATTATTGGCAATGCCTTTTCCTGGAGAAAGAGCTATCAGTGCAGTGCAGGGTCCAGCAAGAAATTCCCTCTTCACCTTTAGGTCACTGAATACAATCTTAGTGTAAGAGAAACCAGCACTACTCTGCTGCATTCATATACTGCACATCTACTGCAATGTAACTTGTCTCTTCTGCATGACCCACAGGAAGATTACAGATATCAGCTCCAACAGCAAACCAGTTTGGTTTATGTTCTCACAGAGGTGCTGAAGATACTTGATCCAAGTCTTCTCGGGTTCTTAGCATTTCTGATATCTATCTGTAGAATAAGAGTTCAGTGTTTTCCAAAGTCCTTTCTCATACTGAAAATATTACATAGCACTCTTTCAAGTTCTGGCTCAGCTTTTCAGCTTAGACTCCAAAACCAGAGAACTTCCACATAACTGGCATCAGGAATGCTGCATTGGTGGTGAGTTAAGCTAGCTTCAAGAAAAAAGGCAAATGACTTACTAAACAGCTCTCCTCTAAAAACAACTGCCTGCTCCTATTGAAGAGTTCTTCAATTGTAAGGTACAGAATGTGCATTTCATCCAAAGAAACCTTACTGAGAAGTGCCAGTGTGAGCAAAGAAGACGAACATGACACTGACAGCAAAAGACAAGCAGAATTTTCCTCTCAAAAAAGAAGTGAATGACTGGCCAATGAAGAAAGAGAAGTAATATCCAAAAGGTCTAAGAATAACTTAAAAATTTCTGTCTGAATTCAGTTAGGAAAAAAAAGAGACTCATTTATTAAACTATACACCAAAGAAGAATAAAACAGCTAAAACACACAGCCTCCCACGTTCCAGTTCATTGAGGGAGTATGTCAAAGCACAGCAAGTCTGCTCTAGAATATGAGAACACCAGGGTAAATTGAGTTATCAATGCTGAACTCACAGGATGGTACTCAAAGATGCAACTGGAGTCATCCTCTTTATCCCCAGTTTACTGACAAAGCTGTACAGCTCCAAGAAATAGGACAGCCAGAAATGCAGGACAACCAACTGTTGGCTTCAACCATTTTTAGCTCTTAAACCACGACACAAGTCAAAGTAGTAAGCTGCCAAATATCACCCAGACATGACCAAACACAGGAAGCAGGTAACAAGCTCTGCACTGGCAGCCACTGTTCTTTCCTGTTAGAAGATGAAGCAGCTCAACAAGTGCCTGTGGAGCTAGCTGTCCTCTTCACAAATAAAAAATACAATGGCAGTCTCAGAGGAAAAAAAACCAAAAACATTGTTCAGTGACAGTGGAAGGTGAGATAAAATGTCTGCTTTTATTTATTTGTGTTTGTGCTACAGAGCATCTGATTCATAGGCATAAATGTAACAGTAAAGGTCGTGATGGTTTGCTTAAGGAAGTAAAGCAGAACTCAGCTGAGAAACTCTGATATGAATCTTTGAAAAGGAAGTGATTTGACATGTCAGCAACCACCTGAAGAGCATTTGCAGAACTTCTAAGCTACCTGTTGCTGTATTACTTAAATTACTTCAATAAAAGCGAGTTTCAAACAATCAGTTTCTTAGCCCCAACATTGGGACAATGATGCCAATACTGAAGTAAAAGGAGGACATTTTATCACTTTTTTTCCCCCAAATAATCCCTTGGTAAAACTTCTTTTACCTCCCAGACACCATGACAGTCTGCAAAGTGATGTGCAAAGATACAACTGTATTTCTTTTACTTGGAACTTTTACTCCTATCATTCAGAAACTGGAAATAGCTTCCCCTCTGACTCTACAGCTCAAAGCTTCTTGACTGAAAAGGAGAAAGCTACTCCATTCCTTCCTCAAATAGCAACAAGGAAGGATTAAATTCAACTGCTGCTTTACTACACAAAAGACTCAAAAATGCAGCAGTATTAGTACCATGTTTCTTATTAACAATCTTCATCCTACAACTACATAAAGGGCTATAAAGAAACTACAGCAATCTGTATCCTGTATCACATGTAGAATACGTGAGCAAATAAAAGTGACTCATTTTGATCAGATTAATTTTTTTGAATAGCTTAATTCTCACCTCTTTTCTTCATTCATCCACTGAGCACAATGCCCTAAGTCTTCTTAAAGATTCCACTGTGGATAAAATTCACTTCCACCACCCAGAGAAATTTCACCATAAAGATTTTCACATTTCTGTATTATAGCAGGTTTTTCAAATAGTCATTACCTCTTTTTCCCCCCCTTACTCAGTAGAAAACCCAGTGCATGATGACTATTTGAATTTGGACCACAAAAGCACTTTTGAAGCGATTCTCTGAATTACTGCCACTTACTGCTTTTTGGTTCACAACGTTTAGCATCAGAGCTAAAGTAGATTCCCTTTTAGAACAAACTCAAGTGGAATATGAGCTACAAGATCATTACCTGTTGCACTCCCCTACTGCAATCCAACCACACAGAAGCATTCAGTCCATGGAAAGTCTTTAGAGTAGTCCAAAGTATGTACACTGCACATGTCAGGTCCTCACTGTCAATTCCTTCCACTCTACAGATATTCTCCCAGAGGTCCACACTACTTGCTAATGTATTAGTAGATCAAACTTAAAGATGGTTTCATAAAACTGGGGAGCTGAATTCATGCCAGCAACGAAGAGGAATCCTCAATGAATTGTGTGTGAAGTATTAAACTTCAGCTGCACTTTTACCTTATCATTCTTGAAGGGTTATAAGTAGTGGAAATCAGAAGATCATTGTTTGCCTGGTGATTTGCCTCAGAAAAAATGCCTTTTAGATAGAATATTAGTTCGGCTTTTAAGTGCAAATATTTGACAAACCTGAGATCTAGTGAAAAATTATGGTTCTAGATTTCCGAAGTCATTTGTTCGGTTAAGTTCTATTAAAACCAGCCCAAGAATTAAAACCTCTAAAGTAACTTTGAAAATCACAAGCATATTTTTTTTCCATTATCCAAATCACCCACTATCTCTGCATGCAACTAGATTGACTAAGGACTGTACACCATTCTTAAGTCTGTTTTTTTTACTTCATGTCCAGGTGCATCCTATGTTAGAGAGGAAGACCTGATCTGTCCAGTTCTGAGTATTACAATTTCATGTAAAATTACAGATCATGTGTATATACATAAATGTATACACACACACACAAAGATAAATATATACTCACTTCTGGTAAAAAAACATGTCAACAAAGATCATCTGAATGAAATTTATATAAAATCATAAAGATTTAGGCCTGGGTTTCACATGTGCAGTCAGGTTCAGGCATCCATCACCCTCCTTTATCTGGCCACCAACTGCTGCTGCAATGTTACCACTCACTGTGTTCATGACCACAGACTGGGCAGGGCCACAATGAATCATTCCCCTAATCTCCCAGGGTTGGATTCAAACCTCCTTCCATATACAAAAATGTTTAATTTCAAAATATTCAAAGTTGTTGGAATTAATACAATGTTGGCAAGACAGTGATTTTAGCTACTGAAAAGGAGACACAAAGCTCAACTTTGTCATAGCTGAGCTGCCACACATCCATTTACAGACATGCATTGCACCTGTCAGCTCAGGGACACTGCATCCTTGTCCTGTGAAGTAACACAGGAGACAATTAACTACTAATGTGTCTAATTTACAACAGCTCAAAGTGCACAAGTCTAATTAGTGACTTCGCAAAATAACATTAACAAGATGCATCTGTGCTTGTTTTAATCAAGCTGATAATATACTATTATTAGACTGATTTCATCAACTGCTTTTCTGCTTCAGATGAAATTATTTACAGTGAGCTGTTCTGCCCTCCTGTATTCAGTTAAGTATTATAATAAACAAGGGATTTTCCCTGTTTTGTCCCTTATAATGAAATGCATCCCAAAAAGATGCCACATGGTCAACTTACCACTGCCACAGCATCACTAGAAAGAACAGCTTGGACATCCAGCACTGTATAATAAGCTACATTGGTCAGAATGTAGATAACAGTCACAATTGGCATAGACACTGCAATAGCCAGTGGCAAATTCCTGTAAGACAAAAAAAACAACCAAACCCACAAGCACAGAAAAGAAAAATCCATTAATAACGGAATACACGTATTTATTTGTATCCTTTACAAGAGACAGAAAAGTTATGAAGCCAAAATAAAGATTTCAAAATACAGTATTTCTGGAACTAGAGTTTGGTTTCTTTCAAAATTCTAATACAGAATACTGAAAAAAAATTCCAATTTTTACGGGAACTTAAAACCTAAATTAAGTGTCGAAAGGGATTCTATGCAACTGCTCTTCAAATACCCTAACTTGAAGGTTTCCAGATCAGTAATAACAGCATTCAAGATTATTTGCTTTAAGCTATTTCCTACTGGCCACGTGGATTACCACAACAAGAGCCCAAAGAGGCAGAGCTCTGAGTCACTGCGCTCATTCTCCCTAGGGAACAGAGGGAGATGTACTAAACCAAACCAAACCAAACCCCTGACCTGCTCATTTGCACTCACCACTGCAGAGAACAAACTAAATGGGCTGCAGAACTGCAGAAGACAGAGATGCAAGATCCAAAATTGCTACACAGATGTGAATCTCATGATCTGGTATATCTCACTAGCAAACAAGTGTGTAGAAAGTGATACCGAAAAAAAAGTCTAGAGCAACAGGAAATCACTGCTAACCTTTAGATGTAAGCAGATGAGATTTAACTGAGATAAACTGACAGCCCTGAGTCTGCAGCTCCACAGAGAGAAAGTACAGAGCAGAAGCAAATTAGCATTAGGCTTTGTCTTTAATCAGGCTCATTCTTTTCTAAAACCTTGCAGGGATATTCAAATGTTTCAAAAAGGGAAGCAGAACTGAGACTGTTACTCTCACATCCGCCCAGTTTGACATCAAACACACCATGGTGACATGGATGAGCTTTTGCCATGAATGCAAAAACTCAATAAAGCATAAATATTATCAGTCTGACTAAAACTTTGTGAGTTTCCTCAAAAATTTCCTGAGGCCCAGAACTCCAGCTGTGTCTGTCTGATGCTGTGGAAGCAGAAAAACAAACATACAGCACAATCGCCCATATAAATCAGTAAATTAGTAACTGGGAGTTCTGACTCTGCTTCCAGGTTGGACACTCAGAGTAAGAGATCTGTGAACCTCAGCACAGAGAAGAAACAAAATTAGAAAACCACTGAAAAATTAATTCAGAAACGTTATATAATGTAACAAAAAGATGAAATGGCCTTTTAAGGACTTTGCATCATCCAAGATTAAAGCCAAGGAACTATGTCAAATTTAACTTGTGCATTTCAACTTTTGAGTGGACAAGCATGAGAGCATCACGAACCAAATGGACATGGAGAATACGTAATTCTTGCAGTAATCTGATAGAAGCCTGGGATATCTCATTATTCCCAAGAACTCTCAATGCAGAAAGCTGAAATTTGAAGTTCACTTTAACAGCTGCAGTGCTACCAAGAACAAAGATTATATTAGGCTCTGATGCCTCTAATACAGGAAATAATTATGAAGAAATTTTCATCAGCTAAATATCCTGTGAGAAAAATTGTTTTTCAAAACAATACATCTAATCAAGAGTTACCAAACTGGTAACACAAAACAATATACTAACTTAAAAAAGATAAAAAGGCATTGCAACAGCTCTCAAACAAGGAGCTTTTGAGCAGAAAAAAAAACCCCACCACCACAATTTGAAAGGCCCAAATGACTTCTAAAAAAAACACAAAACATACATCTCTTCTGAATACATGTAACAAATCTTTGAGAGAAGATTAAAGAAATACTGTCAATCTGAAATTCAGTCTGACTAAAAAAAGCTTTTTTAGAGTTAAAATACTTATCTGTTATTTTATCTTTTAAACAGATACATTTCCTGGTTAAATAAATGCTCAGCATAAAACAACATATAGAACAGAACAAACTGCAAGAGTCAAAATAATTTGGTAGAACTGAAAAATAAACAAAACAACAAAACCTCTTTCATTCTTTATCATTCAGCTGTAGCAATCTGAGCTGTTGCTTATAATAGGGAGTAACAATTATCAAATGGGATTCTATTTTTAAAATAAAAGGCATCTGTTTACAGAACAACAACTGACCAGGATTAGTCAGTCACACTTTTAGAGCATAAATTCATGGAAAAGATTCATTAACATGTTAAAATATGAAAGCAGAATGACTGCAGAGATAAACACAGCACAGACTACACTGTCCCACTGCAATATTGACATGTTATGACAAAGAGTAGCAACACCTTGCACTGAAAGCTTATCAAGCCCTGAATGCAGCATTCTGCAACCATCCAGACTTATTTATTCTTACCTTTTTTCTTCTTTTTTTATTTTTTAATGGAGTTTAGTCAATCTTTGCTAGAGGCCGTTCACAGCCTTACCACCTAAGCACAGAGCAGCTCTACCCACTTCTGCATAAGCTCAGACCTCATTAGACAATGATACCACAAACCAAGCAACTTGGGAACTATCCAGAATTAGAAAGCTCAAATCATTTACCTTTCTGGGTTTTTGATCTCTTCTGTTACAAAATTGAGTGTATCCCAACCAGAGTAAGAGAACAAGGCAGAATACAGTGCAAGAGAGATGTCTCCAATATCAAAAGAGGATCCCTCAAATGAGTTCTCAAAGTGCGATGAATGTCCTGTGTGTGGAAGAGATGCAATGAAGAGCAGGACAATAAAATACAGCAAATAATGTTTTTCAGTTTGGTACACAGCTACAACAAAACCCTCAGAAACCCTAACTCCTTCAAATGTGCTTATTAAGACCTTTTCTTGCAATTCTCCTCTGTACTTTATCCATGAGAATAAGCATGACATTTACAACTAGTAAAAGTTACAGGGTGTGGATGATACTGTTCTATAATTAAGCACCTAGTTTGTCCACAATGTCACATGAAGTTCAGGAACATTAAGTTTGGACTAACCTACAAACAACTGGCAAAGACGATACTCAGGCTAAGGGTATTTTTGTATCATACATATTTATAAAACAACTCACTCTATTCTTGTCCTTTCACATTTTAAAACATTCAGCCTATGCAGAAAACAAAGATTACAGGTGATTCTGGATAACTGACAGAATAACCCACAAAAAACACCTAAATGGATGTTTAAGGTTTTGCTATTAAAAACAGAAAACTGAGAAAATTTAACAGAACATAAAATATTACTGTTACTTGAGATAAAATTTTCCCAAGCTGAGAGAAGAAGTGTGTGGTTTTATGCACTAGTCTTTGTGAGAACTTGTGCTATCTTATGACATTAAGCAAGTCAAGACAAGCTTATCAATATATATTCTGACTATTTTACATACTCAGACACAAAACCACCGAATACAGAAAGGTGAGCTCCTACGTAGCTCCAAACTTGCCCTGTACTATGCATCCTGAAATGTTTAAACTCCATGAAAACTGGGCAGATAAATATTTGAGGCCTCATTTCTCTTCCCTACTTTTTACCCTAATCAGATGTTGCTATCCCTTTGGCACAGCATAGGCAGAGTTACTGCGGAGTTATAAACAGAGAAGGGAGACAAATGCCAAGTTACTTAGTTGAGGTCAAGCTCAGCAGCTACAAAACAAGGGATGGGCCAATGTGTTAAGGATTAAACACTCCTGCATGGTGCTCAAACATGTGTATTCGTGTTCCATTCACAATAATGGCCTTGCTCAAGAACTTTCAACAATAACCAGTTAGAGCAAGGGACATAAATTGCCAGGGAGAGACCTTTATGGCAGCTTTGACAGCAGGGTAAAATTTTTTAAGCTACCACACCAAGAAATTCTCCCAAAGGGAAGGGCTAAGAACAAAACTAAGGTCAGAATTTCTCTGTCTTGAAGGCACAATGCCCAACACGCGCACACAAGTTAAAAAACCAAAATCCAAACCCTCAGCAGCTTTCTAATTCTCAACAGCTATAACAGAACTCAGGCTTTCAGCAAAAACAGAGCTGCTGTTCCACAAATCTACCTACATGTTCTTAGAAACCCATTATTGTTTTAAGTTCAAACACTCACACTTGCACAAAATTCATTTAGTAAAAAAAAAACATTCAGTTGATCTCACTGTAAGGTAATATGTTCCTTACAAAATTTACAACTGTCTCCACTCCCATTGTATTTTGCTATCTCTGTGTTTTCTCTGGTTTCATTTCCCTTATCATTCCATACTGCAGGCTGTAAATCACACAATACTGCTGAACAATCAATTACCTTCTTTTACCCAGTTCAAAGTCAACTGAGATAGGATGGATATCTCATGATAATGCCTAACATTGGTATTATTGGGGTTTCCAATTGGTGCTTACAGTTACCAAGTAGAACTGATAAATACAAACCTTTGCTTTCATTTGAAAAGCTTACCCTGGCATATTTTAACAATCCCAGTTATGATGATGACAATAAGAGCAATAACTTTAGCGTAAGTAAACACATCCTGCACACGTGTTCCCCATTTAACGTAGGCACAATTTATAAATGTTAGAATACCTAGGGGAGGGGAAAAAAAAAGAAGAAAAATTAAAAGACTATTTGAACAATATTCAACTTAATTCATTTTTCAAATATTTTAATTGTAATCTAAATATGCACTTACCTGATATACTCATACTTAGGGTAAACTAAGCCAAATACACTGGTACTGAAAACAAACTGGTTCAAACAAAATGGCATAAAACAAATGTTCTAAACACAGTTTTAAAAAGATGGAAGGAAAGACCTTCTCCTTTCTCTGATTACATGACCTTATTCCTAACATGACCCCTCATCACTGCACTCTGCTACTATCTTGAAGCTAAAGAAACTGTTACATGCAATTAATTCATTCCCATGCATCAATATTGTTCTGATAAATGAAAGATTAACTGAAAATTCCATTAAGCAAACATATTAAAAGTGTTTGAAAAGTTTTTTTATCCTTCTTTGTTAGGCTGAGCATGAGTTCAATACCCATGGAGTAGCTGCAATACTGAGTATGGTCACAGGTGATGAAATACTCTATTCCAGGTCTATTCAACTGTATTACAAATAGAGAACAGATCTGATCAAATCATTTGCAAGGGCAGGTGGTGATAGGGCAAGGGGAAATGGCCTTAACCGGAAAGAAAGCAGATTAGATTAGATTAGGTATCAGGAAGAAGGTCTTCCATGTGAGGCACTGGCACAGGTTGCCCAGAGCTGTGGATGCCCCATCCCTGAAGTGTTCACCCAGGCTGGATGGGGCTTGAACAACCTGTTCTAGTAGAAGGTGTCCCTGCCCCTGGCAGGGGGTTGGAACTAGATGATCTTTAAGGCCCTTTCCAACCCAAACCATTTTATGGTTCCAAAGAGTACGTTTTACAGCTAATGCAACATTAATCTGGATTTTTAAGAACTGCTAGTAAATTACAAGTATTCTGTGTATATTTGCCCTTCTATCCCTAAATAAATTAGTCAGACCTATTTCACAAGTTTGCAATGAAACTAGAAATGAAACTTTCAGATTTCACAAATATTTTAGTACTAGACGCTGACTAAACTTACTCACATGATGAACTTCCCCAAGACTGTTCTTATGGCTCTCAACATTTTGTTTGTGCATTTATTACTTTTTTCCCCAAAATGGAGAGCCAGACAACCTCCACCTGAGCTCAAGGGTTGACTATTTTATAGGATTCAGTATCTTCAATATTCATCACTTAACCAAATCCTAACTCAGTGCGTATTTTTCTTCCCCAGATTATCAGTACATTTAAACCTCTATGTTGCAAACAATATTACCCCCAAATCTCAGTTTTTCATCTAGCTAGTAAAAAAGTGATTAGATTCTACTGTACGTTTTATCTCCAAAGAATTTTCCTGTGCTATTTTAAACATGCATATAAATAAAAAATAAACTTTCTTATTACCTTTCCCATAAACCAAGAACACTACTAAGATAAAAATGATTTAGCATAGCTACCAAATTGAAAAGTAGTAATTTTTAGAAGATAACAAAAGAATGGTAGTGATCTCAAAAGCATGGCACTAGTATGCTAGACAGTCTGGCCAAGTGGAATAGCTCAACAAAATTCCACTGAGCTTGGCAAGATGAGGGGAAAAAACTAGTTGTATCAAATTTCAAAAGTCAGGACTGTTGCAGCTCTCAAAGAGCCCTCAGGGGAAAAACCAACGCTGCTTGATCTCAGCTCTTCAGTATTAAGTGCTGGGAGTATTTGCTCACACAGTTTATTTCAGCCTTTTTTTTTTAAAGCAACATTCATTGCGAGTAATTATTATTAGTGAGTTAGGGCTTGGTCTCTATTTCAGAGGAAATGCTATTCTGTCTGTGATATCTTATAAGAAAAAAAAATTATAATCAAGAATCTGAATAAGCTACACGTCCTCTCTCTCTTTTACAAAAATCATCCTCTCTCGTTAATTATCATTTAGCTATTTAAACTCCCTGAGAACTGCCACACATACCAAAATACTGTCATGATTGTCAGAGTAATGCTGTATAACACTAGGACTGTTCCCACACTAGATCTAGTATTGTTATTGCTACAATTAAAAAAAAACCCCAAAGGCAAACCAAAAGGAAGCCACACAACAAACCCACCCAATTCTCACATACAATCTGTACCTAACCAGTGTTCACACTTCCATTCCCAGTAGCTTCATTAATAAGGGATTAATCATATCCAGAGCTAAGGATGTGACAAACATCATCAGCCCTGCTAAGCCAGGGAGAGGTGTAGGCTTTGACAGGAACAGCTAAATGAAGTTGTAGAGCAGGGCTGAGAGTCTTAGCACTGACACCTACAACAGGGCAGAACAAGCATTTAAACCATGAAACAGTTAAATTGTTCTGCCTACACAAGAGTGATCTTGCTGTCACGGCGTTTCCACTAAAGAAAAAGGTGCCAAGTCTCCTCATCTTAGCAGCAAATGTAGAAGACATGACATCTGTCTTTTCCCTTTTCTAGTCCTATACGGACCACTCTAATAAGTAACATTAGAGCTATTCTAACAGACTCACTGTTGCCTCAAGAAGGAACCAGCTAGGAGCAGCATATCTCCTTGCAGCACATTGTTAGCAGTGGAAGAGCCCAAGTTCTGTTAGCTTTTTGATCAAAGCATCATGTCAGTAGAGGTGTCACACTGATCAGTACGTGATGTAGGACTGCCATAGAGACTTTGTGAAATATATTCTTCACTGTTTACTCAAAATGTAAAATATGTATATAAACACTTTTAACTGACACCTAAATTGAATGAGACACACCTGGTTCAATCATACAGTTTCATTCTTCTGATACAGCAAACATTTCAATGTTTTACGTCTACACCAAATTTCCACTTCTCAAAACAGCTATAAAACAGGTACTGTTTGTACTAATGTTACAGTCAATCACAAGAATAATCTTGGATGAGTAATCTTTTAAAACCTACCAGAGCGGTACCTGAAGTATGTCAACAGTGAGAAGCTATTGTAAAATAAATCACACCAGAACTTACAGCATAAGAGCCATTCTGCAAAAACTCTTAGACTACACCAACAGTATTCTGAGGTTTGATTTAAAATGCCTTTCCCAAGGAAAAACAATTTTTACTCCCCTTTTTGCCATGTAAGCAAACTTGGAGGAGTTAAATTCCTTGTTCCGCTTCCAAATGAGGAAGTGGTAATTTGCTGACTGAACACTTGCAAGATATTCATGTGCTGGATATTGTCCTTTTTCCCACTGTAACGCAAAACCATTGCAGCTTCAATATGCAACAACTGTTGAGACTTGGTAGGATGTGTTTTAATAACACTGGATAAGAAATTACCACACCAATTTTCAAGAAATACTTACATTCACAAGCAGCTGCTATGAGACGACAAGCCAAATACGGAGGATCACAGGAAGGGAAGAAAGGCTGAACTATGTAGTTAGCAAAGGTGATAGCAATAATTGCCTGACTCGTTGGCTCAACAATTAGGAGTGAGGTCCACAAACGAATAAATGCAATGAAGCTCCCAAAGGACTCCAAGATATATGCATAGCTGGCTCCTGACTTTGTAATAGTGGTTCCAAGTTCAGCATAGCAGAGAGCTCCGAAGACTGAAAAAATCCCTCCAATTGCCCAAATTACTAGAGACAATCCATAAGATTTGCTGTAGATGAGGACTCCTTTGGGAGACACAAAGATACCTGAACCAATCATGTTGCCTACTATAAGGCTTATCCCATTTATCAGAGATATTTCTTTCTTCAGTTGCAATGTATTTTGGTTTCCATCCTGCGTTTCGCTTGGATCTGTCCTGTCGGATTTATCGACGGGGCTGTATTCAGCCAGGGAAACGTGTGACTTCGTGCAATCTGTCCTTTCTCCCATTGTGGAAGGATTGTGAATTCTCCACGATTCCAAATCGCAAACTAAAACAAAATATAGACAGCTGAAATCATGACCAATTTTTTTATCCCAGCACTTTTTTTCCACCTTTACCCTACGATTTACACACGTAAATTGAGAAGTTCCCTTTTGTTGCTTCATGTGTGTTTGTTTTTTTATGCAAAGGCAAATTCATGCACAGTTAAACAGGAAAACCAACACACAGAGCAAGTGACAAATCCCAATTTAACTTGAGAGAGGAACTTCTACCTTTAGGAAAACAAAACCATAGGAAGGACCGAATTAAGAGACCCCAATTTTGAGAAGAAGCAAGAACAGAACAGATAGAAGCACAGTGAGATGATACAGAAAAGCACTGCAGGACCGAGATGGAAAAAATGGAAAGTCTGGATCAACTAGAATAAAGCAGCTGATCGGGGCGGGGGAGGATTTTGTGCTTTTCTGGGGTAATGCTAATTTTACCAAAGGTTTTGTTTCTGCAACAATAAACTAGTTAACTGAGACAACCAAATCCTGAATATGGGGATTTTGAAAGGCCAGAATGCAGCCATGCAAAGTACATGTGTACCCATGCATCTAGCAACATACAAACATACAAGGTTCTGCCCTTGCACCCAGAGGCACATCTGTCTGGAGGGAATACTCTTCCTCTATCATAAAGCCAACACCTGTATACTGCAGCACACAAAATCTGACTTGACTTCCCTAAACTAGAATAGTTTTAAAGAGGTGAAAATGATAAAGATGTTTTTCAATCAAGTAAAAAATTGCTTATTGAAACTGCACTGGTTTGGGCTGAGGAAGAGTTAACTTTCTTCCCAGTGGCTAGGATGGAGCTATGGTTTGGATTTGTGCAGAGCACAGGGATGATAACGCAGAGGTGTTTTTGTTGTTCAACAGTGCTAACACAGAGCCAAGGCCTTGACCACTTTCCATACTGCCACACTGGCAAGGAAGTTGGGGGTGCATGGGAGACTGGGAAGAGACACAGCTGGGACAGGTGACCCAAACTGACCAAAGGGACATTTCATACCACAGGACATCATGCTCAATATATAAGGTGGGAGGAAGAAGGACAAAGGGGGAACATTTGGAGTGATGGTGTTTGTCTTCCCAAGGAACCATTAGGCATGATGGGGCTCTGCTCTCCTGGAGATGTCTGAACACATCCTGTCCATGGGAAGCAGTGAATTAATTCCTTGTTTTTGCTTTGCTTGTGTGTGCAGCTTTTACTTTCCCTATTAAACTGTCTTTATCTTGACCCATGAGTTTTCTAGCTTTTATCCTTCCAATTCTCTCCCCCATCCCGTTGGTTGGGGAGTGGTGAGCAGCTATGTGGCACTTGGTTCCTAACTGGGGTTAAACCACAACACAAACATATTACATCATTCATCTTTAGAGACTGTTCTTTTATATAATGCAAAATGAGATCCTCAATCTCTTTAGTTGGATACCTTCCGGTTTATTTTCCCCTCAATACTCCAAAGAAACACTTTCAAGACAGTTAATTACTAAATACAGATTTTATCATTTGTGCACGAGTCAACACCTTAGCTAGTGTCATACATACATCAGAAGCCATCAGATTTCTCACTTATAATTAGACTAAAAATTTTCAACCTTCCAGAAACTCAACTCTGTTATTTCAGAACTTAAAAGCTTGAGTGTTATAATAAGGCACTTCCAACAAAATTAAACTAACTAGGAGAGAGGGATTCACAATTCCTACAGATGAGAAAATGAAAACAAATTTATCTCACCACTCGTTACCTGTTCTCCTTGTTATTTACCCTTCCATCTATCTTGTGTCAAATTCCTTTGCAACCACATAAGAGCTGACTTTCCATTACTGGTGTAGAAGAGCTAAGTCTTCAAAAGGACATGTGGCCTATGAGCTTGCAAGATTATTTGTTTTGCTTTACAAGAGAAAGTTCTTACTCTGGAAATGAACATAGAGTATTCTAACAATCAATTGTAAATATGATGCAATCATCAGAAAGCTGTGTAAAACAGCAGAACAACCAACCAAAGCAGATGTCTTCATGGCTAATTTGGCTGTAAGAAGGGTATTTAAAAGAACACTTGTGACCCATAAAAATTCAACTCCAAATTGAGTCTTTTCATTTCTATGAAATGAACATGACAATAGTTCCAAATGTATTTCAGAAGGCAAATCACTGTAAACAAACATCAGTGGAAAAAAAAAAAGAATACTACAACTATTATTACGACATCCAACTGACAGTTTGAAAACATGCCATGCTCATTTTCAGCCCTTCCAGCCAAAGGGTAAGACTGTGAGTATGTTTAGGTATGTTTAGAACTGATCATGAACGTAAAACATCACTTTGATGCTAACTCCACAGCTTTACGATTTCTTACTTCACACATCCTAATCATCATTCCCATTTCTTACTGGCACACCTTTTAGTATGAACTGATGTGAAACATACACACACACAACTTTGAATACTCAGGCATCTCGTTGGTTTGATTTGATTCAAATCAATTGAATAACTCAGATCAAATCAAATCTGATGTGTGCACACACAGGCAGTTCTGCACTAAGAATTACTGTGATTCACTTTGCACTAAGAATTACTGTGATTCACTTCATGGTCTGAAGTTCAGAGGTGCATTTCATTACCTGCAGTTACAGAGTCTGTCACTATTCAAATGTCTCCACCTCAATTAGAAGCACGTGTCTGCAGTTCTATACAGTTTTTTACTGATAACCTTGACTGTTTCTTGCCCTACTCTACCCAGGAAAGAACAACCACACCTAGCCTGTTTTGTCCCCCAATATGCTTTCTTCCTCTCCGAGCCTGCTTTTCTTATTCCCAGCTTCAGGTATCTGACAACACCTTGGATTTGCATGAAGGTGTGTACAACAGCTCACTCAAGATTTGACATTTCATTCCCTTCTCTAGCCTTGTTTGTTTTATATCCTTAAAGCCTACAGGGCAGGAATTGCTTATTTGCCTGAGTCACATGTCTTATTACATCACCTCTGTGACAGAAACAAAACTGTTGGCAGGGTTTTTGCTACAAGCTCTTCACTTAATCTCAAGTGGAACTAAAATCAGCTGCTTTGACCAGCTAAAAAAAAAAAACAACTTACCAAGGAAGAGTGAGAGCAGAGTCTAGAGAAAACTGAAGCTATGTCAATATTAGCAATACAAACCCACATATATTAAAATCCACAATTCTGTCGTAAGATCATTGCTTCTGTGGAAACAGAAGACAGACTTAGAAGAGGAGAACCAGAGACTAATAGAATGTATTTTCTAACATACAATAACCCTGCAATACTGCAGCTAAAAACACTACTAGAATGATCTCTAATGCTGCCAAAGTTTAGCCACAGGACTGCTGTCGCTAATACAGCATTATGCCTTCACACAAGCTAACGTGGATTTCCTCATCTCTACCCTTGTGCAATACAGTCTTCAACTCTTTTTTTGCTGATCCTTGCAGCTGTGAGGAATCTCTTTGCTGATATGCACAGATTATTTTTACTGAAATAGCTCTGCTGTTTATATAGAAAGCCTTGATACAAAATCAGCACGGAGTGACCTGAAACTAGGAGCACTTCAGCGTTTCACCAAAAATACATATTCTGATAAGGCCTATCACACTTTGGCCAAGCACCAAAGGAGCTAATGAAGGTTAACAGCAGTTAGCAAAGTACTAACACTGCATTACAGGGTGGCTCTCCTTTAGGAGAAGGCAAAGAGGAACCATCCACCAAGATCCCATTTCTCCCACTGACCAGAGCAGTTGTCATTTGTTCAGCTAGGGGGGAACCTGCAAGTGGGTTAATGACCAATGTGAAATACCAAACTGCTAAAAGCTTAGTGTGTTTTGCTGTTGTCTTATACAATACCTGTTCATTAGCAAAGATTTCTAGTGTTCTTGCCTCTGTCTTCCACAGTCATTTGGACCGTGCAAAACAACTCTAGTTGTAAAACAGCTTTACACAGGCACTTTGGCTATTCACAGATATCAGACCTAAGATTCCTATTTCTGAACACAGTTGATTGGCCCTGCCAGTAAAAGCCAAGATTGCTCTATACAGGCAAACATCATCCAAGTCTTCAGGGAGTTAAGTACTGACAGACCAAAGGTTGTAAGTCCCAGAAACGCTGTTCCCTGCAACGTATATATTTAGGCACCTCACAGTCTGAACATTTATGTGGGAAAGGCTTAGAGTTTGTCTAGTACGTATTTTTCTTTCCTCTGGTGAGAGAAGAATGACATCCCTGCCATACATACAGTTCGCAGACAGGAAGCCCTTGCAACAAAAGTAATTCCCAATGTAAAGATCTAATCTCTTCCAAACAAGTCTTTTGTGCTTATATACACAAACACACCATCTTTAGCACTATGAAAAATAAAACATAAACCTTCAAACAGAATTGGCTGTAACATCCATTTTTATAAAAAAGGGACACAATATGTTTATCATGTACAAAGGCATGAAAGAGAAGTTACTTTGTGAATTATTCACGTAATAGTTTACCAGCTATGGCAGTAAGTCCTGACCATACACACCTGTGACACAGCTGGAAAGAGATGTTCTGCAAATAGACATACTATCCACTTGTTCAGAGAAATCCTGAATAAGGCTATGAACATTAAATGAAAGGAAGACCTATAATCAGCTCACAACAGATCTTCAGTTACAACATCCCAGACATTTCTCAAAATTTTATGAATTACCAATCCTAGATAAATCCACATCATTAACACCAACCTACATTTCAAACCAAGTCACTTTAAAGTCAGGGAACCATACTGGTTACAAGTGGAAAATAACATGCCACTATATCCTTCACACTTCAAATTTATTTTTATATTTCCCAAAGGAAAAAATAGAAGCGAGCTCACAACAGAGACTTTGTGCTAGGCAGCCTTGATTTAGACAGAAGTGAGGTTTGGAGTGCCCGAAGCAACTGCAAGGAGAGGAACATCTGGCGAAACTTACAGTAAGACTCAGGTTAAGACAGAAGGGAC